GAACACACAGCCACCTTCGGCCCTGTGCCTGCCTTCCCCACTGGCCTCAGCCAGGCAGCCAGCCAGGGCAGACAGCAGGGACAGCGGGCACTGGAGGGTGGGTGCCCTGCCCACCTGGGGAGTCAAATTTCAAGGCTGTTGTTACTTGACCCACGAATGCCACCTTGCCTGGCCCAGCCAAGAACCAGCCGTGTCCCTCTGAGCATGCATGCACATGCATATGTGTGTGTGTGTGTACAGACATGAGCTGTGTAATATGAGTGCAGCTGGCCTCATGCCCACTCAGGGCCATGTGAATGGTGGGGGAAGGACAGCTGAGGGAAGCACACGTGTGCACTGGGGTGTGTGGGTGTGCCCACAGCTGTGTATGGGTGTGCCCACAGGTTGTGTGGGTGTGTGTGGAGGTGTGTGTTTATATTAGTTGTGTTGATGTGTGCACAGGTGTGTGTGACAGGTGTGTTGTGTGTGTGCACAGGCATGTGAGAGTATGTGTAGGTGTGTGGACAGGTGTGGGTGTTGCGTGTGTGGGTGTGTGCACAAGTGTGTGTGGCTTGTGCACTGGTGTGTGATAGTGTGTGCCTGGTATGTGTGGGTGTGCACGAGTTGTATTGGTGTGTGCTAGGGGTGTATGGATATGTGCCAGGTGTGTTTCTCCAGCTGTGCAGTGTGGCATCATCCTGTACGTGTGCACAGGTATGTCATGAGTCCATCACATCTGGTGGATGCCAGAGACTGCCCCACAGGGACCCCTCTTGGTGGACACCTGAGCAGACCACAGTGCCAGCCTCCGCCCAGGGCAGCCTTGCTGGTAGAGGCCCTGCTGGGGTAGGCCACCCTCTCACTCTACGCCCCTCTCCATGAGGGTCACAGTGCCACAGTGGCCCAGGGAAACCCTTCAGCTCCAAGGTGGGAGCCCCTGAGAACCTGCCCTCAGGGCCTGCCTGCCTCTGGCTGGGGCGGCACCTATGCAGCCCATCCTCTCTCACCCCTGCATCCTCCTTCAGGACACTTCTGCTGTCTAGCAAGACACAGCGTTTCTCCCAGTCCCTCTGCCTGCCCCCAGCTCACTGACTCGGCAGGAGGGGAGGTGTCGGGGCCGAGCGAGACAGAAGGATGAGTGGGCTGGCTGGGGGGGTGGGGGCAGCAATAGACGCCAGGGGTCCCTGGGAGGCGGTCCCAAGGGGGGTACCCCATCAGATCAGGGAAAACAGGGCAGCCCCAGACAAGCCTCTGCTGAGTGAGTGCACCCAGGTACATGAGCTCCTGGGCCTCGGGCCCCCTGCTGTGAATGGGGCCGCCATCACCTGGGAGGCGGCTGCCAGGGTACGGGGCCAGCTCAGAGAGCGGCACCTGCCAGAGCACCATGTGCTCCAATGACAGGGCTCTGCACACCGCCCCGTATGCACAGTGTGTGACGGCGGCCCTACAGGCAGGCAGGCAGGGAGGATGCACCGTGTGTGAGGAGGACCTCACGGCCTGGTGCTGGGAGCACAGAGGGGCCTGCTGAGGGGCGGCCCAGGGAGGGAGCCTGGTCCCACCAGCTTGGCACCATGATGGCATCAAGGGCAGTGCCCACCTCTCACGTAGACTGGACCTAGGACAAGGGTTGCTTCGTCAGCCCTGGCCCACGAAGTGCTGGGATCAGGAAGGAGCCACCCATCTGTTACCGAGGTTCAGCCCCTCCCCACCCCCAGGCCTAACTCCACTTCTTACCTCCCCAGAGGGCCAGCAGGCTGGGTCGGCACACCACAGGGCCCCAGAGGACCAGCAGGCAGGGACCCAGGGGATGGGCACACAGAGATCCCGGGGAGCAGATAAAAAAAAAACGCCGGGGGCAGACACGCAGGGACTGCTGGGGGCAGAAACACAGGGACTCCCGGGGACAGACATGCAGGGACTGCTGGGGACAGGAACACAGGGACTCCCGGGGACAGACACGTGGGAACCCTAGGGGTTGAGCAAGCGGGGCTCCCAGGGATGGGCAGGCAGGGAGCCTGGGGAGCAGGCAGGTGGGGACCCCAGAGGATGGGCAAGTGGAGACCCCGTGAGACAGGCAGACAGGGACCCTAGGAGACAGACATGTGAGGACCCCAGGGGATAAGCATGCAAGGACCCTGGGGGTCAAGCAGGCAGGGACCCCTGGAGACAGGCATGTGAGGACCCAGGCGAAGGGCACATGGGGACCCTGGCGAAGGGCACATGGGGACCCTGGGAGACACCCCTGCTCCACGCAGGGCTAACACACAGAGTTTGCAGCCCTGGGAATGGAGTTCAAACCCTGACGCCTCATGTCCCAGTTACGTGATCTCTCTGAACCTCCGTTTCCCTCTGGAGAATGGGTCCTTGCCAGATAGTTGTGCCCAGGACACGGTAGCCTGAAGTATTACCAACATGGGTCCAGGCCGCACGCCTGCCTCGGCCACGTGTGGCATTCCACCTCTTGCTTGTCCCAGGGGAGCTCCAGCTGGGCTCCCATTGAAGGCCCCTCCCAAGCCTCCTCACACCCAGAACCCTGGCCTCGACACAGTGGCCTCCATTCGCCCGGGGAGTCCTGCCCTAGCCAGGTCTGGGAAACAGGTCAGGGGAGCCCCATCTCCTGTGGGCCTCATCCTCTCAACATCCCAGCAGGCCCTGCCAGCCAGCTCTAGCTCCAAGCACCCCAGCTTCACAAGAACCCCAGCTAAGCGCTCTGGGCCACCTGCCACTGCAGGGCGGCCGTGTCTGTCCCAGCTGCGCCCTGACCTCTGACCCTTGGCCCCCACGTGAGGACCCAGAGCATGGCGGGGTTGCTTTGATGTCTGCCCCTGTCACCAAGACTTGCGCGGCCATGGCGCTGTGGGGACCATGGGTGGGTGGTGAGCATTTGGGGGCTCGGGTGGGGGTTACCCCCACAAGTGCTGCTGCGAGCCGACTTTCAAGTGCAAATGCTCTGGATTTCCCTCCCTGAGAGCAGGAGGGCTGTGAGTGGGAGGCGCGTCAGGGGCAGAGCTCCAGGGTCTCCCTTCAGGGGCACACGTGGAGGCAGGGCCAGGGAGGACTCCAGGCGCCTGGCGGGGAGGACACATGTCAGAACTTGGGCCCCTGCTCTCCAGGTCTCCTATGTATGAAGGAGGTGGGTGGATACCACAGCCCAGGACAGAGACCTGATAGGTGGCACCAGCCCCACGGACATGGGCCGGAGGGAAAGTCACACGGAGGCACAGGGAGGAGGGGTGCTGGGCACCGACACCACTGCCCCACACTCACTCGGTCACTCACACACACACACACTCACAGACTTACACACCAACTGGCACCCACTCACACCCACACTTGCACACTCCTTCACTTGCAGTTAGTCAGTCATGTTCACATACCTGTGCTTACAATCACACACATTCACACTCACACCCATTCCATTAACCAACATGCACACTCACTGGCACACTCATGAACACTCACATGCATACCCACTCACACATTCACACTCACACCCTCACACCCACTCCCCTTACCTACATGCACACTCCCTGACATACACTCACACTCATGTGCATACTCACACATGTGCACACACACGAGCACATGCACACTCACATGCACACTCAGTCACCTGCTCATTTGCACACACGCACGAGCACATTCGCACTCACATGCACTCGGGCACACATTCACACATTCACATGCACACAGTCATGCATGAGCACATTCACACTCACATGCACACTCAGGTGCACGCTCACACACTCACATTAACTATCACTCATTTACACACTCACACTTACATTCAGTGCCAGTCCAACCTGAGGGACAGGGTGCTGACCCCGCTCCAGGTGCGGGTGGGAGTCTCAGGAGCCTCTGCAGGTGGTGCCCAAGCTCACAGGAGCCAACAGACTTACCCAGAAGGCTTTGTGTGTTCACACACTCCCACCAAGGGGCTCGTGGAGCATCAACTGGGGCCCGGTCCTGGCCGCAGAGAGGAGCAGTGGTCCCCATCCTGCGGGCCCACCCTCCCAGCCACAGGGACTCACCAGGCCTCAGGGACCTGAAAGGGAGACAAGGGGAAGGAGGTGGAGGGAGGCATGTGTGGGTCCCCCAGCCCATATTTATCTACCCTCCTTGAGCCTTCCACCTCTCATGGGGACTGACTGCCTGAGCCAATGGAGGCTGGGGGGCCTGTGTGTTTCTGTGTGACTGTATCTCACGAGTGTCTGTGTGTGCCTGTATATATGTCTGCATCTGTCCATTTGTGCCTCTGTGCACATGTATCTGTGTGTACATGCCATGTGCTAGGTGTCTGTGTGGGTCTGTGTCTCTGTGCATGTGTCTGTATGTGTACAAGTCTGTGTGCTGTGTGTGTTTATCTGTGCCTGTCTGCATGTGTGTCTGTGTGTATCTGTCCATGTGCTGTGTATTTGTGTGCACATGTGTCTGTGTGTGTACATGTGGATCTGTGTCTGTGTACATGTCTGTGTGTGTACATGTTCATCTGTGTGTGTACCTGCCATGTGCTGTGTGTCTATGTGGATCTGCATCTGTGTGCATGTGTCTGTGTATGTACAATTCTGTGTGCTGTGTGTGTTTACCTGTGCCTGCCTGCATATGTGTCTATGTATACATGCCCATGTGCTGTGTGTCTGTGTGTACCAGTCCATGTGCTGTGTAATTGTGTGGATCTGTGTCTGTATGCACATGTCTGTGTGTGTACATCTGTCTGTGCATGTACAAGCTATGTGCTGTGTGTCTATGTGAATCTATGTCTGTGTATACATGTCCATGTACTGTGTGTATATGTATATCTGTGTTTGTGTATACATGACTGTCTTTGTGTGTACATGTGTGTCTGTGTCTGTCCAAGTTCTCCTGCAGGGACAAAAGCGAGGGAGGGAGGGAGGGACCATCAAAGTGACTTCTCTCAACTTCCTCCTCCCAGGCTGGAGATAGAGAGGAAGTAGAGGCTAGGAGCTGTCCACGCGTCCCTGAGTGTGCCAGGCCAGGCTGAGGCCAAGCCACAGGGAGCCATGGAGAGCTTTATGGAGTCTCTGAACAGGCTGAAGGACATCCATGAGAAGGAGGTCCTGGGTGAGTGAGCAAGGATGGGGGCCTTGACTGGGTGGATCTACACAGCCCTCCTGGACACACAGCCCTCACTAAGGGCCAAGGGCAGGCAAGAGAATGCCTGCCTGCAGCCTCCAGGCTCTAGGCCCAGGAAGGGGTGCCAGGGCCCAGGCCACAGAGCTACAAAGTGGCCGGGCACTGGCATGGCCCGGTCCTGGCATAAGCGCTGACCAGCACCCGGAGTGAAATCCAGAGGGGCACATGCAGGACTCAAGAGTGACGTCAGGGACACCTCAGTCACCTTCCGCCAACAGCATCCAGGCTCGTCCATGCCAAGTCCTCCCAAAAGGCTGGTCTGGGGCGAGTAGGACAGGGACTGAGGCCCTGACCCGCCCTCACTCCCCAGCGAGGGGTCTGGGTGCCCAGAAGTGAGGGCACCCCTGTGTAGGAGCTGGTCCTCAGTGAGCTGAAGTTCTTCCCTTTCCTCCCGGACACCCCATGCCTGCTGCGCTGGCTCTGCCAGCTCCTGCTCAGTAGGAGGTCGGGGCTCCACTCATCCTGCTCCAGCCCCCAGCCCAGAGCCCCCAAGAGTCTTTCCAGCCTGTGCTCCTGCAGCCACTCTCCAAAGGCCTGGGTCACTTCTGACAAGACCAGAAGTGGGGCTCCTGGGCCCGTGGAACCCACGCTGGCTCACAGAGCAGGGCGAGGAGGAGGCCTGTGGGGACCACTGCCAAGGCCACTTGATTTCAACACTAGCACACCCCCTACCATGGCCCCTCTTGGCTCCTCGCTGTCCTCACCAGGACTGGCCAAGGTGGCAGGTCATTCCCAGCATCACAGTCCCTGCCAAGCTCCAGACAGATGCCGCACTTTCTGAGACCTCATGGGAAGGGGAACACTCAGCCCAGACCCTGGGCACAGAACCACAGTGACTGGGCAGAGCTGAGGCCGGAGCGTCTAGCAGCTGGCCAGGCAGACCCATCAGGCAGGGTGGTCACCTGGTCTCCCTCAGGAATGCTGGGAGAGGAGCCGGCATCAGACGGGCAGGGCTCTGGAGACACCACAGGCAGAACGTGTCACCTCATGATGGTAGCCGCCCCACTGTGGGCAGGGCCGGGGGCTTATAGGCCTGACCCTCAGCTTCTCTCCCCGCCGCCAGGTCTGCAGAACAAGCTTCTGGAGCTGAACTCTGAGAGATGCCGGTGAGTCTGCGGTGGTTCCAGGCCAGACAGGCACAGGGATCGGGGACAGCTGCCCCCTGGGTGCCAGTACCACCATGGCCGCAGGACGCAGATGGGGAAACTGAGGCCAGGAGGGGCAAGTATGTAGTGGAGCTGGGACTTGAGCCCAGTATGTCAACTTCCAAGGCCACCACTGAGCAGAGACCCCGTAACTGGGGCAGCTCCCCCCACAGGGCGTCTCCATGCCCCAGGGCGGTCATGTGACCAGTAGCAATAGCCATGTGGAGGCACCTGGCCCCTTACATCTCGCAGAGCTGGGCTTCCGTCCTGAGTGCTCAACCACTATGTGGACAAGACAAACACCACCAAGTGTCAGGCACAGGACTCCAGGTCGAGAGCGCTGGGTTCAGCACTGCCCTTGCATGGCTCCACTTTATAAGCACAAGTCCCCGCAAGGGGGTACCCCCAGCAGACCCAGCCCTGAGCTGCTGCCCCCGGGACAGCTGCGGGGTGGAGGCCTCCAGCCGCACAGGTGCACACGCACATGCACATGGCGACCTAGGCGCACAGGGATGGTCTGCGCACACGTGTGCATCAATCCTGCCCCCAAAGAGCCCCTTCGTGAGGTTTGCCACCGCCGCAGGGACGCCCGGAGGATGGAGGAGCTGTTCGCCAAGAACCACCAGCTCCGGGAGCAGCAGAAGGCGCTGAAGGAGAACGTGACGGTCCTGGAGAACAGGTGAGCCCCGAGGGGCCTCCTGAGGCCGGCTCCAGGGGCCAGGGAGGGGCAGAAAGGACGCCTCCGTCGTGTGTTTGGGGACCGCCTGGGGGGCCCGACCAGGTAGGGTCCTCCACTGCAGGACTGCGCTTTCAAGATTCCTCCCCAAACTCAACGGGACACGGAACGCTTACTCCACACAGTAGGGGATGGGGTAGGGTTCCATGGAACACAGTGTGGGGACGGGATGGCATCCTGGGAGGGGTGGTGTGGGGTCCAGCCCCTCTGAGGCTCTCGGCCTCTTCCGGTGCTGGGGCAGCTGGCTGCACCCTCCGGGCCTCTCGCCACCCCCCCTCAGGCTACGGGCTGGCCTGTGTGACCGCTGCGTGGTGACCCAGGAGCTGGCCAGGAAGAAGCAACATGCGCTTGAGAGCTCCCATGTGCAGAACCTGCAGCACATCTTCCTCCTGAGTGAGCACGTGCAGCAGCCCGGGCCCAGCCATGCAGGGAAGGGGAGCAGGGGACCACCTGTGCCGTGGTGCGGAGAAGGAGACCCCCCCCAGGGCCCACGCCAGGCACAAGACCCTGGCTGGTCCTGCTGTGGCCCCCACTGTCAGCCCCTCTCTGGGCCTCAGCTTCCTCCTGACCCTGCCTACAACAAAGAACCAGTCATCTTCCCTGAAGCCCCCAGGGATAAGCTCAGAGCTGGGAAGAGCAGGGCCCTGTCACTTCTCCTGGCATCCAGGCATACACTGGTGGGGGCCTCCTGGACCAAGTGCTGGGGACACAGCTGGGAACAAGACAAGGGGGACATCCCTGGGTGTGAGGACCCCCTGTCCTGATCCTCCCCCCCAGCTGCACCGCTAATCAGGGACCTCCGCAGCCACCGAGTTGACCCGGCTGAAGGAGGAAAAGAAACTCTTGGAGGAGGAGTTGAAGCGGCTTCGGGGCCTGGAGTGAGTGGGCAAGGGGCCACGACATGGATCCCCACAGGGCCCCCACAGCCCCCGGCACATGTGCAGGGCAAACCAGGGCACCAGGCACAGGAGGAGGGGTGAGGGACCCCGAGGCCATCTCCCAAGGAAAGACTCCTAACTGAATAGCAGCCCCAATGGGCGCCCTAAATGCAGCGGGTCCCCAGCACCTGACACAGCTTGGACCCTCAAGGGTCTACTGGGGGCCCGTGAATTGAGAAGAGCCCCGGGGTGATGCCGAGCCCCGCAGTGGGGGTGCCGGTGGTGGAATGCAGCAGGGGCCAGAGCCGGGTCTCCCTGTTTCCTGGGTCCCTGCACAGGAGAGCACCTCCAAAAGGGTGCCTGGCTTTCCTGCTCATCTTGGGACGTGGTCCTCCCTCACCTCCCCATTGTTGCCTCCCCTCCGGAGACAGGCCCAAGCTCCTGAGCAGGGAAGG